TAATTATTCAGCCCCCTTTTGTCTGAGTGCAGTCAGTTGCCCATAGACGTTGCCTGATGAGTGCTAATGACTAAACAGAGTGCACCTGTGTGTAATCTAATGTCAGTACAAATACAGCTGCTCTGTGACGGCCTCAGAGGTTGTCTAAGAGAATATTGGGAGCAACAACACCATGAAGTCCAAAGAACACACCAGACATGTCAGGCATAAAGTTATTGAGAAATTTAATATAGCAGGCTTAGTCTACAAAAAGATTTCCCAAGCCTTGAACATCCCACAGAGCACTGTTCAAGCAATCATTCAGAAACGGAAGGAGTATGGCACAACTGTAAACCTACCAAGACAAGGCTGTGCACCTAAACTCACAGGCTGAACAAGGAGAGCGCTGATCAGAAATGCAGAATAATTACCCCTGTAAAGAAGGCAAAGAGTGATCAAGATGTAAGTCTCATTTAAACCTTTATAGCTAACAATCTATTGTTTTAAAGGTGATTTATTAGACTAAAATTAAACTGAACCTATTTAATGGATTTGTGCAATTTTTATTTCACAGAGAGAGTTAAATTTGTCTGATTAGTGCAAAACATTAGCCAAGCAAAAATAAAGAAACGCGTGAACAAACAAAATAAAAGCGATGTCATTACAGTTGACTGGGAAATGGTACGCGATGTCCTCAAACAGCTGCTGGAATATCCCTGCCCCACTTGTAAGTAGTGATTTGGACATTAGAGCAGTTGAAAAAGCAAACATCTTCGAGGCCACCAAAATAGGTTTAAAAGTTAAACAAATTTCTTCCACTCAGAGAATGTTGCATATAATTTCATTTTTCCTTGATGCATAAAGTTAAAAGATTAAAACTAATAAAACAAATTTTAAAAAGAGACTTTTTTTCATTTGATTATATTTTATATCATGGATTAGGCAGAAAGTAGAATTGGGCTGAAAGATCTATCGCTCTATCACCTATTCACGTTGTAAATCATGTTTTTAAAAAGTAACTAAGTAACTAATTACTTTTGAAAATAAGTAATCAGTAAAGTAACGAGATTACATTTTGGGGGAAGTAATCACTAATTAGTTACTGATTACTTTTTTCAAGTAACTTGACCAACACTGTTAGTAAGATACACGAGTGCTTGAACGGAAGTTGGGAAAGCTCTTAGCCGTTAGCATGCGTCCATGCTAACTGCCCAGAGAATTCTTACATGTTATTGCAAAAACAGTGCATGTCCCCCCCTCGGACAACGTGTATGCAGCCTGAGACTCTCTCCACTCTGTGGTCAGCAAGGTCCAATCGCAATCTCCGAGTGCCCTTTCTTTAATACCAGGGGACTATAAACACGCATCACTGGACTCCACACTGCCGACCTTCACCCAGTACGTGTCATGCCCTACCAGAGACAATAAAACACTAGACTTGGGCTACGTTCACACTGCAGGTCTCAATGCTCAATTCCGATTTTTTGATCAAATACGAATTTTTTTGTCTGCTTATTCACACTACAAATAAAATGCGACAGCAAACGCGCTCTAACGTGAACCCTCAAAGCGGCCCGCATGCGCAAAAGAAGACGCCACACGCTCTGTTTAGACCCAGACCAAACAATATTGTTTGACTGATGGCCCTTAATATAAAGACTTCGGACTTTACGTTTCCCAATTTTTGCTTTGTTATTTTGTTATTTACATAATAATGTGAATAACCTAATAACTATCCTTATTGCTGTTTTAGAGAGGAGCGGTGCTTCAAAGGATAGTTGCAGATTTCTGTCAGAATCAAATAAAATGTTCACGTTTCTCCAACGTTGTCTTCCCAACAGTTTCACTGACATCTACACTGGATGGCCAGGAAGCGTTTGCAATGTCTTCTTGGGCGCTTCTCCGGAGCTGATAATTGGCGTCTGTCTTTTGTCAGTGACATAAAAGACGGATTTAATGTGACATGACCATTCAAGCAGCAGTCGCTTTCTAAAACATCGGATATGTATCAGAATCAGTACCACATACGAAAGTGACTCAGATCGGATTTGAAAATATCGGATTTGTGCCGTTCACACTGTCATACCATGATTGGATTTGGGTCGCATAGGGTCAAAAAAATCAGATTTGATGTGCTTTCGCCTGCAGTGTGAACGTAGCCTTACTGTATGTCAATGCAAAAGAGGTATACAGTTCATCACCTGTCCCTCACCTGGGAAGATCTGATCACAAGTGTTGATCTGGAGGTAGTTCTGCTGGCACCAGTCCACAAAGTCATGGGTAAATTCTCTGTACTCCCTGTCGCTACCATCAGTGATGAGGCTGACTGACCAGAGCTGTCAAAGAACCTTTGCAGGAAGCACCGGGTGGAGTTTTGGGAGAAGTCTGCAGAGTAGATAGTAAAGAGGAACGGAGGCAGAACCATTCCCGTACTGCCCCCACAGGGACACACAGCACTAAGTTCTCATATGCTGTTGTCGGTCGGTGAGGTAGAACCATCGGGCCACAAAAATCACAACTGTCTGCCGGGGGGGGGGTGAGGTGGGCAAATGAACTGCATCATTTCTTTTAACAGGTTTGATTGATCCAGGATGCAGTCTTCAACATCGACTGCAGACTCACCCACCCCCACTACTGCTGTCCCACCTCTGACACCTCATTCACTTCACACCTCCTCTCCTCACCCCGCTCACTACTACTCACCCTAACCACTGCATCCTGTACACAACCAACACACGGCTCCAGCCTGTCTCTCTCAACCATCCAGGTTAAGGAACTGAGGATGACTGGAGTCAGGAAGGCAGCGGGTCCCGATGGCATCAGCTCAAGGGTTGCCAAGTCCTGCACAGATCAATTGTGTGGGGTGATGGAGTACATCTTCAGCCTGAGGCTGGGAAGAGTTCCACAGCTCTGGAAAACCTCTTGTGTGCCACTAGTGCCAAAGACTCCACATTCCAAGAACCTCAACAGCAACAGGGCAGTGGCTCTGACATCCCACCCAAGGAAGACCCAAGAACACCTGAACCTGTCTCAGCTTTGACTCCTGGTGAGCTCCTCACTGGACCCACTTCAGTTTGCCTACCAGCCTGGCACTGGATTGGATGATGCTGTCATTCACCTCCTACACCGTTCCCATCTCGATTGGAGACCCCTGGGAGCACTGTGAGAATCATTTTCTTTGATTTCTTTATTGCCTTTAACACCATTCTTTCCACAGTTCTGAAGAAAAAGCTGGAGAACTCAGGAATTGACCATCACCTCACAGCATGAATATTGGACTACCTCACCACCAGACTATAGTATATGAGAACTCGGGGCTGCATGTCGGACAGGGTCATCTGCAGTACGGAGGCCCCACAGGGAACTGTGTGGGAGACATCTGCAGTGGGCAAATGAACTGAATCATTTCTTTGACAGGTTTGATTGATCCAGGATGCAGTCTTCAACATCGACTGCAGACTCACCCACACCCACTGCCGTTGTTGCGCATCTGACACCTCAGTTACTTCACACCTCCTCCCTTCACCCCGCTCACAACTCCCCACCCCTACCACAGCATCCTGTACACAACCAACACACATCTCCAGCCTGTCTCTCTCAACCCTCCAGGTTAGGAGGGAACTGAGTACGACTGGAGCAAAGAAGGCAGCAGGTCCAGATGGCATCAGCTCAAGGGTTGTCAAGTCCTGCGCAGATCAACATGAGAACTCTGGGCTGCGTGTCTGACAGGGTCATCTGCAGTATGGAGGCCCCACAGGGAACGGTGTGGGAGACGTCTGCAGTGCAGTGTTCCAGTGTTCCCTGGATTAATTAATTGATTAATTTTATCGCATTATTTGTAATGATAGCATTAACGCGATAATGTTGACAGGCCTAGTTTGTTGGTTTGCTTTTATTTCGTTTTATAAGCAAGCTGGTTATTAGATGCTGCTTCAGCCAGCCAGACAATCCTTTGCTGTCCCACCCCTCTCCTCCCTGTGGAGCAAGCAGCAGGTGTATCTCGTAAATCCTTACTCCTCGCAAATGGGCAATAGAAAACCGTTTGGTGCCTATGCAATCCCCAAAATGCACTGGCATGACATCCGGGGAGCATGGGTGTGAGCAACGTTCTTTTTTGCAGATGCCATGATGCCCCCTCTACCACAATGCCACCCTGGGCAATGCCCTATGTTGCCCATATCAAAAACCACCACTTGGTACCATAGCTCAGGCTACTTGTTACTCTGTGATATTTATCTGAATGTTTGCAAACTATTCTAGTACTTAAGATTGTTTATTAAAATCTTTAAACCTTTCAACTGTGTTCTACAATTATGTCCTTTTTTTTTGCAAATGCCAACAAATTACTGCCTTGCCTTGGTCATCCACTGCAAATTCATTTCTGCCTGCACCCTGATGTGTTTTTTCTAAACCATTTGCATTTTGAGTAAATGTATTTTGCAAGAGTAAGCATGCACACATTTGCCAAACACAGACAGGATATTGTGTGGTTAATGATAGACCTATAAACTGCTTTTAAAATGTTAACAAAATTCATATTACTGCAAATGCAGTGAGCAGTTTGCATTGACAGCTAGAAATATAGCATGTGCAATCATCTGTCACCAATTAAACTGCATCTTATGAAATGTCAATTTTCTTTCTCCACAGTTTTTTTTAGAGAAGGTGTTACCATCTACCGGAACCAAATTCCTTGTATGTGTCTGCACATATACATGGCCAATAAACACGATTCTGATTCTGAGTATACATAGTAAAGTATGATACATCGTTTTATCATATTTCAAGTGTCACCATACTGAAAATACTGATAAATCTTTATCAGTATGTACTTTTGATCCAGGGCACGATGTTAGGTTTGATCAAGGTTTTGAAGGTTTAACCTTGAACTTATCTGTCCACACACTGACATGTTTATCAGTTTGTGACCTAGATGATGATTGGTAAATGTGGTCTTTACTGGAAATGATGGCATTTGAGGTCATTCACTTCATTTCCTCTTAAATAGGGGTGGGAAAACTAACTGGTCAGTATAAACCCGAAAAAGACTAAGAATCAGCAGAAGTGAACTCATACTGAGCCAAGATGAAAGCGTTTTGTGTCGCTGTTCTTGTGCTGAATTTCATCTCTGTGTGCCAGCCTTCATCAGTGGCCTGTGAGAGGTATCTAAAAACAGCAGATAGGGAGCAAGATGTAAGTCTCTTTTAAACCTTTATAGCTAAGATTATAGTTGTAAAACTGATTTGCTAGTAGAATTTTAGTAAAATGAAACTGCACCTTTGTAATGGATTTGTGCAAGTTTGTATTTCATGAATAGTGTTAAATGTGTCAGATTAGTGCAAAACATTTACAAAGCAACAAACAAAAACTAAAATAACGAATGAACAAACAATGTCTTCATTTCAGCTGACTGGGAAATGGTACCTTATAGCCATGTCCTCAAACAGCTGCTGGGCTACTGCATTCAGTGTCCTACCTTTCGGTGTCTATGTGAACATTACGGCAATGGAAGAAGCAAACATCTATGAAGCCACCTTTTCACTGAAAATGTAACTAATTTTCTTCCTTATAATTGTTGTTTATACTGTATGTTTGCCAGTGTTTGTGCTTCATATTTCATTATGTCATTTAAAGTTATTTTTTCATTCTTTATATCTCTTGACTACTAATTAAATCAGGTTTGGGCAGTGTAAAAATTTAACTTCAAAAATTCACTACGAAAAAAGCACCATAACTGAGATTGACAGCAAGGGTAAGAGTTTTGATTAAAACATTTGTGTCACTGGAGTTTAATTATGAATCTCTTCGTGTCTGTTTCTTTCAGTCACTATTAAACTTTTTAACTGCAGATTAATTATGTGCTCAAACCTTTTAACATTGACAAAATAATCAATAAAAACATAAAAGCACTAAAAGAGAAAATTCAGATATGAAAATCATATACATGTTTAATTTTTAAGCTTTTAAAGAATTGGTAGCATACTAGTTTTGTTGTCTTTTGTCTTCTCCGACTTTTTCCACATTCTTGTGTAAATAATAATCTTCACTTGTGATAGTATCTATAATACTATAATTCTGATGTTAAAAATTTAATCTCAAATGTTAAATGTATTTTAATAACTCTTCTTTTTACAACAGGTGCCAAAAGTGATAATGTAATGATACTTCTTCAAAGGAGGTGCCATGATTGTATTGTTATAAAGGGAGATGGCTTCACTGACATTCTTGTGCTTTTAAGTAAGGACCCAGACAAATGTGATAAGAAAATATGTTGAATATTTACAATACAGATGTTTTTACAGCACTTTCTTACCTGACTTATCTAGCAGGCTATTATATAGCAGATTATGACATTTAATCATGTTTTAAACAGGTAAGCGAATGTCCATCACTGATGATGAGATGGAGGCATTTGAGATACAAGCAGAATGTCGTTACTTGTACAAACCACAGATCTTTGGTTCTGATCATGGTAAGATGTGAAAAAAGAATATGACGAAACCTTTATGGCTTTACAGCTAACGTGTACTTTTAGAGTGATTCGTGTCATTTTATTTTCTGCAGTTCCTTAACATTATAATGTAATCAGTATAACACAATTGCACATTCTACAGTTTCTAATTGTTTTTTTTTCTTCATACAGACTACGAGAACTGCACAGTTGACGATGGCAAGACTGAATATGCTTCTTCAGAAATTCCCCATATGCGACAAGCAGTGCTAAACATCTTCTCACAGGTCTTCACATGCGTACAAGACAAAGTTTTGTATTACCCCCGTGCTGCCTTCCAGTGGGTGCAGTCAACATGGAGTAATTTGTGGTGAATGTAGAGAGACACGCTATAATAAATATTTGCTTATTTCAATCATGTGCACTTGAAACCGTGCTGTCTTTAGTTTAAAGATTTGAAGAGAGTGTAGAATGAATTATAAATACTACAGTTTACAGATGAACAATATTTGAATATTAATTCAAAATATCATTATAATGCATTTATATCTGTCCTTTACCTCTCAACTACTATTCATCCAACTTGCTGAGGTCCAGAGTAAGGGCAGTGTCTATTTTAAGGATGCTCTAAAGTGCTGTGTTCCAATTTTTTCTGTCGCATTTCTGTTGCTATTAAACATTTATGAAATTCAGTGTGGAATCAACTGTCAAAAGACTCAATCTTCCAAAGACTCATTTCCTCAAAAAATCACTGTTTCAGCAGAATTTTCCAGGGGTCCTATCTGGACAAAAAGACAGTCATTTGAAATTTACAACCTCTGTAAATGATTTTACATAAAGTGGAATTCATATTTAGACATTGTTATGATGAGCCCACCTACTTCAATATCAAAAGAACAGCAGATGTAAATGTCAGAGGGTTTAAATATGGTCATTTTGGTTTTCTATTCCCTAAAAAAAAACGTTCAAGCGTTGACTTTAATTCATGGACCAAAAGGTGTAATAACTACACTTGTAAAAACTTGTGAAAGTTCTAGTCAGTAATAGCTTAAAAAATAAAGTGAAAATGAAAAAATTAGCTATATGAATAAGAGACACGAGAGAATTTAAAAATGCAATATGTCTCCTGCCTTTTCTCAAAGGCCAAAGTGTAACTTTACTTACACACAAACATCACAATAAATAATGAGTTGTGGGAAAGTAAATACAGTGTATATGTCTGTTTTTAAAAATATGTATTTGCTGGTCTATGCTGTCTAAAGTTGAAATCCAAAAATGAAACATGCGACCAACATTTTATTGACAGACTTACCAGACAGCCTCAGACAGCCATGCAGTCTTAAAGGTCCCTATGTGAGTAGGAATGCCAGACCCCACAACACTACCATGAGTTGGTTAATTAATCCATTAATGCACAAAAATAGAGAAGCTCTGGTGGAATCAATTTACACTCAGCTGATTGACATGTTGATTAATATCTTGTCAGCTGTCTTCATGTTACAAGCTTTACTCTTTTTTTGAGAGTATCGGGCAGCTTGGACATCCATATTCAAATAGTTGAACATCAAGAATTATATATATAGAATTAGAAATGGTGTATTTTCATCCAGAAGCAAATCCTTGTGTTCCGTTGTTTTCATTCTAATTCTGTTGTTTGTTTTAAAACTCCATTGTTTTCATTCAAATTCTGTTGTTTTCATTCAAATTCTGTTGTTTTCATTCAAATTCTGTT